ATATAGATATAGATATAGATATAGATATAGATATAGATATAGATACAGATATAGATATAGATATAATATGTATGTATGTATGTATGTATGTATGTATGTATGTATGTATGTATGTGTGTGTGTATAGGTACAAGGCCCGAATTGCCCGCGACAGTTGAGGGAAGATCGCAGAGCCCCAGAACCGCAGACATGGCCCCTCGGGGCACGCGTGTCAAACAACAGCTGCCATGCGCAGATGGCAACGATTATGACACTGGTTTCCACAAGCTTCCTGGCCCCACACCGCTGCTGCGGATGAATGCTGACACATGTACGAAATCGTGATCTTCCGGCGCTGCTGGCATCTCGGCGGCACGGTGGATCCCCATTCAATGGTCGATGAGACTCATCACATTTTCCTCAACCCGGACAACCATCCGTGTCAAAATGCCCTGGAACGGCCGACGGCAGTGCGAGTGGCAATGCAGAGGAGCTGGCGAAGAATCTAGTGCAAGACCTCACTGCACGTGGATTGAAATCCACCGTGAGAACGTTGAATGACGTCGAGCTCGAGGTGCTACGTGGTGTCCATGTGCGGGCTGGGCGCATATCCGGCCACCTGCAAGCAAACCCGGCTGAAGCTCCAGTCTCCAGATCTGCCATTGATTGGGCTGGCAGGTGTGAAGTTCTGCGTTTTCGGCCTGGGTGATTCCACTTACAACCGGTTCTGCGTGGCCGCTGCCGGCTTCGACACCGGCTTCAAAGTTCTCGGGGCCCCGGCTTTGCCGCCGGGCCAGGACATCCCTGCGCCTTCCTATCGCGTGAATGCATCACCAGGCGGCTTGGCAAAGCATTGGCCAAGCCATCATCAGCGATGTTCACTAACGTTGCTTACAAGACAGGCAAGCGCCTCAACATCTGGCCCCGCAGCCCGACAGACCAGGAGTTCTGCCGTATGTCGACGACGGGTTTGCTGGGCGCTTCGCTTTCATTCGACTCAGACCTCACACATGCTGGCGCGTATATACACGTCACTGTATGCAGCGGCACGTCTGAGCTGGCACGGTGATGTTTAATTTTCCATTGTGAGGGACCAAATTACCCTGTAGTTGGCAGACTGCTGTTCCTTGGAGGAATAGGCTCAGGGTACAAGTGTGAACTGGTTTTCAGGTTGTCGTTGAGGATTTCCTGCACCTTTACATTGCACATCAGCTGGAGCTTTTTGCCATCTTGCCTCCGATGTTATTTGACGTCTTTTGTCTAGTGATGGCTGTTGAGGGGACCGTTTTTCTTGTTGTGCCGGTTAAATCTCTTCCGCCATTCCCACATGCTGAATGCAAACTGAGTTACACGTTGTGTGTGTGTGTGTGTTTTCCATCCTGCGAGGCCCAGATTTCTGCTCCAGCCAGTAAATTTAGTTAGGTGCATGCCACGACGGCTGCGCTCGAACATGGATTCTGTGCGCAAAATGAGCGACATGAGCGAGGTATAAGTACAGATATGTACTTATTTGTTTCGCGATGTATGAATGTATGCGTGTAAGTCTGTACGTATGTACGTATGTACGTACGTATGTATGTATGTATGTATGTGCTATAACATAGATGTGAGCAACTGTCAAGTTCCGAATCATCGAGATGCTTGCTCAGCAAAATGATGAAAGGGGGCCCAAATGGTTCCCAGATGGGCTTGTAAGGCCGTTGTATCCCTGACAAGCCAACCCGTAACCCAGAAACAAAAAAACACAAAAGCCCTACGAGGCAGTTGCAGAAACCTAATACAGGTCTGTAGCCATATAAAACACTCAAATCAAAGGGACTTTGTGAAACCCATGTGCAACCCATAAGCTGCAGAACACTTATAGAGCCCTTGTGCAGCCCGCTATTGGATGGCGCTTACGCGGCTGATGGCCTATAGCGCACCCGAGCCTCCTCAAGCCAAGCCCTGAACTTTCCAAGCCGAGGAGGTTGATAAAGGGACCTTCGCTTTTGCGATATAATATAGAATATATATAATATACAGTATATAGTGTATACTGTATGTAGTTTTTATAATATATAATACTATACTTATATACGGCCGACAAGCTGGTCTGACAAGCTTTAATCCCTACATATCTCAAGTGCCAAGCGAAAGCTGCGCCTTTCTGGCGGCCCATGGCTTGCGGCCGGTGAATTGTTTTTGGATGAAGAGGTATAATTAGCACACGGCCATAATTCCCAAACTCAACTTGTAGGGCATGTTGTATGTGTTGTGTGCCCTTGGACGTAGTGTTGTAAAAAGCAATACAGGCGGTCTGCACTTCAGGCTTTCAGCTTCAGGGTTCGAAGTTTGAGGCTCATGGCTGTCACGTGGGCGAATTGGTCTTTGGGGTTGAAGGCCTGTATGGGTTTATTTTTCAAGGCTGTACCTTATCGGCGCAGGATGTTCGAGTCATGCGGCTCTTGTTGTGCCAAGACTGAAACGCCATCAACGATGATTCCAGATTGCACATCCGAGCCTCGGAATCTAGGTCTTCCAAACTGCAAAACCCAAGCCCTAAGCTTCCCTAAACCCCAAGCCTGGATCAAAACCACGAACCACCGTAGAGTCTCGTGGTCAGGGCCTAAAAACCCGAAGCCCTAAACCCCTAAAACGGTGGGCTCGCCGGTTTCGGGAACCAGCCCTAAACGTTCAAAAGCAAACAAGGAGTGCCTCTAACAGGGTTTGGGGTTTTTGGGGTTTGGGGTGTAAGAAACCAAGCTTCAAACTTCGATTAAGACCAAAGCCTCTGCAACATCAGCCTAGACCCTGAACTCTCCCGGACCCTGCACTCTCCACCCTCGACACACCCAATCCTAAACCCTAAACTCTGAGCCCTAAACTCTGTGTTGTAGAGGGCTTGAGTCTCGGGCTCTTGAGCTGCAGGGCATGGAGGCGGATCTAGGGCTCTGGGGTTCAGCGCGTCCATGGGGTCTAGGCCTGCAGGCTTCTTTCCGAGTTGCGAGTTTAGAGAGCACAGAACTCTGCACCCGAGAAGGCAACAAAAACTCCAGGCATGCCAAGGCTCGACTCTACTGAATCGGCTCAAGGTTGTTCTGGGCATGTGAACGTAAACTTGAACCTTAAGAGTTTAAGGTTCCGCTGAGTGCCCGGAAGCGCCTTTTTGAGCTAGCTCGGCTACAGCGGGGCGCTGAAAGCCTGGCATACTACGAAGGGCCGGCTGTTTCCATCTCCAGATGCGTCCTCTGCTTCTGTTGGGGCGGGGACCCCACAAATCTCAGTCTAACATCTCCATCAAGGCAACATGTGGTAGCAACAGTCCACTTACAAAAAAGAGGTTGCAGCTTAGACAAGACTTGCTTGTGTCCTTGTCGGCTTTGGCTTCCGGCAACAGATGCGGCGCCTCCAGCTGCCCTTCCGGATCTGTCATGCACACTCCTCTTTGGCTCCATCGTGGATCAGGCTGCTTGGAGGCAGACTCGGAGTCTGCAAGGAACAGAGGGGCAGATGGTTGGCGGGCCTTGCCCGTGTCAGCCTTGGCCTCCACAAAGAGGCATGCAACCTCCAGCTTGGCGCCCTAAGCTTCCAATAGCTTCCATGGAGAGAGGGTCTGCTCGCGGCGGTTGAATTCCTACAAGCAGAAACTGAAAAATATTCGCCGATTATTATCACTGATCTAGCAGCTAGACTGTGTCTTCCGCAAGGTTGGGTGATGGGATGCCGTCTTGTCCATGTGCCTTCGCCTTCTCGGGATTGCTGTGCAGCTCTCACGGCGCCCATGAGGAACCTTAAACAGGGCAGCCTAATCTACACGTCCTTCATCGAAAAGAACAAGATGATCCTCAACACCATCTTCAATGTTATCGACAGTTTGCATATTCAAACTTGCTCAAAATGTTCCGCATGGTATGTTGAATAGCTCATCATGCTACCTTTCCTTCATGGTTTGCAATGTCTGCGTCATTCTCACTGTTACTGCTGTGTTATTCGACATTAACTTCCTCTTCTTTTGGATTGATGTTCTCCACTGTTCCATTCTTAGTGTGGCTCTTGTTGATGCGACATTAACTTCCTCTTCTTTTGGATTGATGTTCTCCACTGTTCCATTCTTAGTGTGGCTCTTGTTGATGCGGCACTTGTGTCATACTCTCATTGCACCATGGTAGCACGTACTCTTGTACTGTTATTGCACACGATGCCGTCTGCTATGCATGCACTACAATGCACTACAGCAGCAGTATGCCTTTCACAACCTTATCACCTGATAGCCCTCACAAAGCAATGACTTCGAGAGCAATGATTTATTAAAGACTGAGGAACACAACTTGTCAAACTGGGAATGCTCCATCACACGGCGGAACATGGTCTCCACCGCGGTCTTGGGTCCTCGAAATTGTGCACAGCCAGTCGCACTTAGCATTGATATAGCCTCAACGACTGCTATTGCTGCTGCTGCTGCTGCTGCTGCTGCTGGTTCTTCTCCTTCTCCTTCTCCTTCTCCTTCTCCTTCTCCTTCTCCTTCTCCTTCTCCTTCTCCTTCTCCTGCTCCTGCTCCTGCTCCTGCTCCTGCTCCTCCTCGTCCTTGTCCTCTTCCTCCTGCTTCTTTGTCTGGCACTCCTACTGCTACAGCACTAACCAGCAGTAGAAAGAACAGCACCAACCAAAGGAAGCAACACGTCAGCACACCAAGAGCGAGCTCAATGCCATGGCGAGTGACCTTTGCCGGTGCCAGACTCTGCGAACCCGATCTCCGGATGAGGTCCTGGAGTGATGCCAGATTTGTGGACTGCAAACACAAGAAGGGACAAAACAACAATCATAACAATTAACATTTATATATACACACATACATATATATATATATATATTTTATTTATTTATTTATTTACTTATTTATTTATTTATTTATCTGTTTACATACACATACATAAGAGCCAGACAGCAATACAGAAACTCGTCAACTAAGGGAGCATAAGGATGAAGGCCCTAGGATTTTACGTCCGGTCGATAGAAATGAACGTTCACAGTAGCCTAAGAACATCGTCGCCTAACACTCTTATAGGTCCTGCCATTAAGGCCGGGCCTTAGAGTTCAGGCCTTAGGATTATGGGATTCAGGCCCTAGGGCTCTAGGGTTTGGGCCCTAGGGTTTTAAAGTTCAGGCCCTAAGAGTTTATAGCCTGGGATTGATTCGACTTTTTGGCCTCGGCCGCGGCTGACGACTTGATAAGTTTAAACTCCCACATGAAAAAGAGGTTAGGGTTTAGGGGCCTAGGGGGAGTTTTGGGAGCCATGCCAAGTCCCTACCCTTTAATCGGAAATTCTTCGCTGCATTCCGAAAGCCGCTTCGAAAGCCCAAACCCCTGAACCCAACACCCAGAACCCTGTGCCAAAATTCCTAAACCCTAACCCTGAAACCTTTGCCGACCCTCGCACAATCAACCCTCAAGAGCTGGATCACACCGATGCCGTCTCCTGAGCTATCCCAGTTGGGCTTCCAAGAGCTGCTCGCCAATGAGGATGATGTTCCTGCACTGCAGGGGCTTCAGGGTGCAGCGTTTTGGCTGCAAGGTTCAGGCTTTCGGGCTTCAGGGAGTGGGACTTCGGGTGTCGCGCTTTCCGGCGTCGGGTTCAGGAGATCAGTTTTAGATGCTCTGCGCTTCATGTGCCCGCGACTAGAAGGCACAGCACAATCTTATTCCTCCCAGCTTTTGGAATAATCCGTAAACACATAAACCCACCCCTGAATGCCACACCCTCATACCCTACACCCCTGCAGTGGAATTTTTACAGCCTAAATCCAGCCTTGTCTCATTGATCAATCCTGTCGTAAAGTCAGCACGAGGCTTTACATCTTCGAGACCCTTTGACAATCGAGGCAGAACCCCCGACACCAGAAGACCTAAACACATCCTAAGCACAGCTACGTGGCCTCATGGAGTATTCCTCTGGGGAGGTCGCCAGCTTCAGCCGCAAGGAGGTTCCCAGCCTCTTTCCAGGGCTACTGGAAGGGGGGGAGGTGGGGGTTCTTGAAAATGAACACCTGCTCCGTCACCTGTACTACTGCAAGGTACTTGTAGAGTGATTGCACAAAGCCATACCAGGCATCAAGGACTACTTAACCCTAAACCCTTGAATACTCCTGAGCTCGAAACCCTCACGACTAGCGACCTAGGCCTCACAACGCACCTAAGACAGGGTTCTGAATCATGAATAAGACTATCCCCTGAGAGCCCCTTCTAACACTGTACTTTAGTTATATCCTCCCAAATCCTACTCCGATCGTCGAATGTCCCTAGGCTCAACCCTTTACAGCTATTTGAAACCGATCTTCCCGGAAACTTCCCCAGTTTTGAATTCACTCCAGAAGGATTATTCAGCTTCCCAAGGGCTTGCAAGTGTTTGGGTGGTTTCTTCCTGTTAAGGATCCCTTTCTGGGTGTCGTGATAATGCGGACCCTATAATTTCGCGCCTTCGCCATCGCTGCACTTCGTTCTCCAGTGATGCTGTTCACCGGATCCGTCTCGGAACCTCCCCTCAAGCCGAAGACCAGCTTCCATCTTGCAACTTAGACTTAGGCCAGGAACCATCAGCCTCAAAGCTCGAAAGCTCCAGGAGTCTCAATACTGTTGGAACGACGACAGCCTGTTTCAAGAAAGCTCTCAAAACAGAAAGCCCTATCCTGCTCCGCAAACGTACTGGCAGACTACCCCCACGACTGAACCCTAAGCCTGCGACCTGAAACCCTAAACCCTTAACCCTGAACCAAGAGCCTCTGCAGGGCTTGGAGCTGGAGAGCAGCGATGGCCTCCACCTCCAGCTCCGCGATGAAACACTTCCCGTGTGGATTCACAGGGTTTGCTTTGTCCTCTCTGAAGCACCAATCCCATGGCCCAAGCCGGTGGTGCCTGGATGAGACACGCTGCACAGAGCCTGGATGAAGGTCATAATCATAATTGCAGACTCATCGTCGAAATCGTACTCGATTTCGCAAAGCTGCCAATCCAGCAGCAAAAAAGGAAGAATGAGCGAAGCGCATCTGCATGGCTGCACTGGTGCGCCTCATTGGTGGTCACCCTGCAGCAAAGGAATTCACGAGAATAGACGAAGCTACAAACAGTATGGCACGGCTTATTGGAGACGCTGGGACGGCTGATGTAAGAAAGCATCTCAATGG